TGTGGATCATGTTACCGCAGGTTCCAAGTACCTAATGATAGTATACATTGGGGCTCATGGAATGTACCTAGTAAGAGCCTTTGGAAGTTCAAGCGTGTAGTATGTGCGCATGCATATTACATAGCTACTCGCCATGCCAAAACCCTAAATCCTGAACTCTAGAAACGCTATACTAATATATATACTACCTGGACTGGACCCCAAAAGTGTGTAGAATAATAGGTTTTTATAGGTTTCGGGCTATTATTTTACTTACTTTTCGAGTTTTTGCCCTAAACCCTAAACCCTAAATCACCCACCTTTCATTCCTCAGGAGGAGCTGCGCAAGCTCAAGGAGAAGGATGCTGCCAACGAGTTGCGTGCGCCGGGCAGCGAACGCGGTATAGGGTTTAGGGTTTTGTGTTAAGGGTTTCGGGGTTTGGGGTTTAGGGTTTAGGGTTTAGAAGAATTGTCTGAGGCTTGGGGTTTGGGGGTTTAGGGGCTTTGGGTTTGGGGCTTACGGGTTTTAAGGGCTTAGGGTTCAATTGGGGCTTAGGGGTTTAAGGGCTTAGGGTTTAGGGTTCAATGAGTTCTGAACGGGTCTTTTAAAGGGTTCCTTGGAAGAGTTCAGCTTGTAGTTTGGAGTCCAACAGGGTCCAAAGTAAGGAATATTTGGTATGTACTTGAGTCTACGACATAATCAGTCGCGACTACATAGTGGGCTTTAGTATTCATGGAAATGTTGGTATATGGTTATTGGGTTTTGGAGCCTCAAAGAGCGTCATACATCGACTTCGCAACCACTGACATCCAAGCCTATACAAGGATATCCGAGCTCAGATCTGCGATTATCACCCATGCAATGTGGGGGCTGCTGAGAGCCTACTATACAGGGACTTTCGTATCATATATAGGTGGATGATATGTTGAATATTCCGAGCCCTACCATATACTGCTATTTGAGAATGTCCACCTCCTTACTAAAAAGGAACAATAACATGACCCTGAGCCTTTCCAGACTGCTAAGTTGGTTGGTGCACCTGTGGCCCTCGAAAGGTATGTTGGATCCTTTCGGAATGACTATTTTCAATTTACTGTTCCGCCTAACTCCCTGGCTTGGAGGGAATATACAAGCTCGTGTTCATGTTCTCCGGCCACGAACTAACTTAGATAGCCAACGAGGGAACTTTAAAGCTTTTGGCTTATATATAACTGGTCTATCTTAGAAAGTTTAACTCTGGCCTTATATATAGTTGGTCTATCATAGAAAGTTTAAGCTTCTTTGGGCCCGGTTATTGAAGGAGAGAGATCATAGGTCAGGCCACGACTACTACGGTTGATGACGTAAATCCTGCATTTCCTTAATGGCCCTAAACTGTGGGAATTATGGGATATTTCTTATTATGGATAATGCAGGATTTAGATCATCAACCGTACGAGGAAGCGAGGCTGCAAGGCTTCGTCCCCCGAACTTGTGAACTCCTAGTCGCTCAGAGACGTAGAATCGTCAAAATCCCCAAACCTTGGTTTTTGGCTGTTATGGGCAATCAAGCGTGTGACATGAAACGTCTTCGGATAGCCTTGGTTTTTGAGTTGTAATAGAACTTTGAGCGGCTGCTGGGGTAACATGAAGAGCGGGAATGGGACTTTAGCGTTCGCCTTCCCGGCTGCACCGCACACTTTCCCGGATTGGTGTGTTGGACGGTTTAGGCCTCCGACGTCTGTCCTACTCAGAGGTATCAGCCAGACCTTCGCGACACTGTGTGCCGAGCCCAGGGGGAGCTGTTTCTAAAGCATGCATTCACAGCAGCGGTCTGCGGCACGAAAAAATGCCTTAAAGATTGTGTACCTTGTGGTATCAACTCTGCTGATCTGTGTTATACCGCGACAGTCACGTGAGCTATGGAGCAAGTCGTCGTAGTCGTATATAGTAGTAGTAGTAGTAGTAGTAGTAGTAGTAGTAGTAGTAGTAGTAGTAGTAGTAGTAGTAGTAGTAGTAGCAGTAGTAGTAGTAGTAGCAGTAGTAGTCGTCATCGTCGTCGAAGTCGTAGTAGTCGGAGAAGTCGTAGTAGTCGTAGTAGTCGTCGTAGTAGTAGTAGCAGCAGTGGAGTAGCAGCAGCAGCAGTACTAGTAGTCGATGTCCTCGTCATGCAGTACTAGTACTCGTACTCGTACTGGGAGTGCCCGGAATAGCCGGCATCGTGACGCTGCAGTGGTCCTTTGAATTTGAGCATCTTTGAGCCGTTCATTGTTCGGTTCTCTTATTGTTGCTAAGGTTAATTACTAGGATACATCTATATGGTTAGTAACCTACTACTTATGTATATAAACTGGAGCCTAGGGAATTGTTGTCATAATACAACCTGATACGCCGAAGCCAGTTCGCCGCTAGCTTCGGTGTGTTTTGCCCAGGCCGCGCTTACGAAGCGACGAGACGTCTGGACAAGTCGCGATCGCGGCAGCAAGTGAACACCGACACCGAAGTTGCCGTAGGGTGATACGAGCAGCTTCATGTTGCTGGTATAGGGGCAATCCTACCCTTGCGCCCCTATCAAAAAGAGTTTTGTTTTTGGACTCTGTATGAGTCCGCTCACATCACCGCAGTGCGTCGAACACAGCCGCCACGGTGTTGGCAGTGTTGGCCGTTTCGCCAAACAAGGCCTTTTCAAGCTCTACAAGCTCACAGGAGCCGAAGCCCCTAGCCCCGAACCCTAAACTCTATAAACGCCCAAGCCGCAGGCCCTAAAACCCCAAAGCCCAAAACCGTAAGAAGAGGTCCTCAAACCGCCTTAAACCCTAAAACCCCTAAGCCCTAAACCGTCTGAACACACACCACGGGCCTCGTAGACTCTTTCAAACAGAAGCTCTGGAAGCGTTCGGCATGTCGTGTGCAGTTGCCAAGCGAGACGCGGAAACATGGGCTTTAGCAGAGATTTGGGTTTAGGGTACATGCGTAGTTACTGAGGCCCTACACTGTAGTACTGTTTTTGGTTAGCTTAGTTTCACAATACGGCATCTGGCTACAATGGAACAGGTTGTCCAAGAGGCAGCAATGCATTTCATGGTCTCAGGGATGTTCCGACCCGGATACGTCGCTTTGGCAAGCCTCGAGTATCACCAGTCCCTTCGAGGGTATTTCAAGCTTGGTTTCCAAACATCCTGAACATCAAAGCAACCACTTCGTCGCAGCATCCCTGGCCCATAAACCTGTGACCTCCACATAGCATGCGCGAGAGTTAAAGCCACCAGAAATTTCTACCCGACGTCCGACAGCCCGAAGAGCCAAAAACCGATAAACCCCTGAAGCCCAAGAGAGGAAGCCTCAAAGTGAAGCGGCCAACGTTGTACAGATTAGTTTCACCTGGGGGGGTGGGGTCTCGCCCGAGACGCAAATCCTGCGACTCTTGGTATACACAAGAAGCCCGGGTTTAGGAGTTTCTGATTAATTAAGGATTTAGGGCCTCCGAAATCCATCCGTCGACATCAAACATCACTGCTTGATGAGTTGGGAAACATCATTTGCCCCAGTTATTTCAAGACTGCAGAAGCAGAGCCACGCAAATCACTGGTGTAACATTAAGCCCTTTAGACCTGTCCCAAGAATATAGAGCTCTCGATTAGTACTACCATTCCCTTACCCCCTTACCGTCTCCAGTACAATAACACTCTACTGTATCCCACAACCCCATTCTCATTGTTGTGGCCCGTGTAGTAACCCCAGACCCTAAAATACACCCGAAAGTCCGGTAGCCCCTCAAACCGCAGAGTCTTAAATCCAAAATCCGAGACACCCATAGAAACCACGATAGGACTCGCATGAGCGCCTACAAGACTCTGTTTATCCTTACAAGAAGCCGTTGCAACACCTGAAATTACAAAAACCCAAACCCCCTTAGGCAGTCAACATCAAACCCTGACGCGCTTAAACACTACACCCCGCCGCCCTGAAACCCAGCCCCAAATCCCAATGCTCCACACAGCGCTTGGCCTGCAACTGCAGAGGATCCGTTAATGTCCGCCCAGAGCGCCTAGGACCTTCTGGAGGATGCAGCTTTCTTTGCAGAACAGGGCTTCGACAAGGTTTCACAGTTGTTTCTCGGCCTGGAGCCGTGCAGCCTCAAACGGTAAGCCATCCTAACCCCTCACGCAAGTCAGATGATTCAGGTTTCTGTTCCAGAAGCCGAAGTGAAGTAATACTGTTGATGATACAAATCCTGTAATTTGCCTGCAATACCGTAAGGATCCGAAACGATAGGAATAATGCTATGTTCCTTGTTAAGGTAGTGCAGGATTCAGGGGCCTCTTCGGAACCCTTTGTCGACACACATGGCAAACCTCCGGAAAGCCCTTTGCTCGAATCGCCGCATGGCGCTGGGCTTTCAGATAAAAAGTGCGCGCGCGGCCTGACACTTGGAATTTGCAAGTTCATGCTTTAGCAAACAAGTCTGGGTTGGGCCTGAGTAACTTCGAATGCATTTATAGCTTTACTATCATGTACCCCAAAACTCTAGTCAGTCCACTCTATTATGGACCCCACACTAACCTTGCTTTTCGTTGCCAGCTTGATTTTGGCTCGCTGCCTTGCCCGCGCTCTAGACATATTCATGGTCCTTGTGGTGTCTTACCTTAGGCCGAAACTTGCCGGCCACAAACGCTTGAATCGGTTTAGTCTGAGGAAGACAGAGCTGTGCACCGAACTAAATCCGATGAACCCTCGAAGTTTTGGAAATCCAAAGTTCCAAGTCGAGTTGTCTGCAGTCGAGGGTGTATGAATGGTAGAAGTAGCAATACTTTATAAGTGCGGTTGCGAAATTTTCAAGCTTGAAGAATTTGAACGCTTAAATCCGAAAGCCAACAAGCCGAGCCTTACACCCTAGAACACCCGTAGAACAAAAACTTTCAGACCCAGAACGGCCTTATACAAAAGCTCAGAACTAGACTAGGGTTTAGGGTTTAGGAAGACCCGTGAAACTCTCATGTCAACCCTGCTGTCCTCCATTCCGAACCACAGTTCGGCGCAGGCTGCCATAGCCCTGCGGGCGCAGGACAGCAGTCAGATTGCTGCTGCCCAGCAGTTGGTCACGAAGGCCACGGCCTTACCAGTAGCCCCAAAATACCATATGGGCCTCAATAGTTACCTATAATATGTTGAGAGGTTCCTTAGTATATTTATAATTTAGGTGTAATAGACAACAAGATCCTATTCTAATTATTAAGGCCCCTATAATAGTCGGCTATGGCCCCTGAACTCTGGGGATCCTAGGATCTATATACCCCTGAAAGCAGTATGGGTTTTTGGGCTCACAGGCAGGGTTGATCCGGCTTTGTAAGGTTGTGAAGCTGTAGAAGTTCCAAGGGTAAAAGGAGGGACCCTTTATAAGGACCCGTAGGTATATACCCTTAATATAGCTATTATATACCCATTATATAGCCCATTATAAGGTAGGGGTCCCCACTAGCGGTCCCTCCTTTTCCCCTTTTAGACGTAAGAACTTCGGAATACCAAGACTGGCACCCCGACGATCGGCAGAATGAGACAGGACCTCAAACTACCAAACCCTACTTTTCTTGCGGGTTCTTGCTATAAACCAGAAAACGGAATCTATAGTGGCCCTACAAAAAATTAGGGTTTGGTAGGTTAAGCGAGGTAAGACGGATCCGTTCTTTGTTTTTGTAGTTTCCGGTTGGTATCCTCATAGCAGTTGGAGCAATTGTAGTGATGAAGTCACTTCTAGTCCTTATACAATAAAAAATTCCCTCCTAGTCCTTATACGACAACCAAATGATATACCTCAAACCATGTTCTACTTGTTCAGGCCGCTATTGTAAAGTACCAGCAGGCTTAGGCTTCGGGCCCAGACATAGTCCCTGTGCACTTATGCCTGCCCCAAATTCCACATCCAAACTGTACCGTACCTGTAAACCCTGAAAGCCTCAAAACCTCGACTACATGCCTCCTCTGGAATCTAGAATCTAGAATGCGATGTGTCAAATCTAAAGCTTCCCATAAGACGTAGTGCACGACACCTTTACCCTTCTGCATCTCAGCAGTGCTACAAACCTAGCGCTCCACACGTCTGGCTTTGGGGCAGCTTTCCTAACCCCCTCAGAAAATGCCAAGGGTCCAAGTACCTAATAATCATATACTCTCCAAAATCCTAACCTACATAGCTACTATCCTAAACCAAGTACCTTGTTATTGAGTCCTTTGGACCCTTAGGAAAATCCCAATGAAGCTGCACACCCTACGTAAATGCTGATGTAGCCCCCCAAGAACCCTAAACCCAAAGCCCTGAACCCTGAACCCTAAACAGTATGTAAACTCTAAACCCTAAGCCCTATACCCTAAGCCCTATACCCTAAGCCCTGAACCCGAAGCCCTAAACCCTAAACTCTCAAGAGCTTCCAGGCTCTATGGCTCCATCGCGATGCCGAGAAGGAGGTCGCCCTGCCTCGTGTTGATTGCTCGAGGGTTCTGAATTCTAGGGTTTAGAATTTAGGATTTGACGTTTAGGGTTGGAGTTCACGTCTCTAGGGGTTAGTTCAGGATTTCAGGGTTTAGGGGCTTGGGTTTTTGATTTGGATTCGGGTTTTAGGCCTTACGGTTCGTGCTCTCTTCTAAAATGGAGCCCGGGGTAAAAGGCCCCCCGTGAACAAGACCGTCGTCTACGATGTCACTTGATTATCAGGTTCCACGTTGTGTCAAGGAGGGTCCTAGTTGTTGCTTCCTGGTGCTTTTGTGTGCATGTATAAACCAGCAAAGCCCTCTGGCGACCCGGTAACGGAAATGTTTCTATGGGGCTGTGCATGGTTCTTTTCGTCCATGTCGTAAAAGGTGCTGTATTGGCTTACATCGAGTTGTGGTGGCATTGACACATATTTGAGCGTCTAGGCGTTTAGTCAAGTACGCCACCATATAGAGATTAACTAGAATAGGAGTTTTGGCATGATAGCGGCTTCAAGATTTCAGGATCCAGATATGCCGGCTCCTGATAGCGAGAGACCTGATGTAGACCCTAAATGGTCGCATCCTTGTCAGGAGCCTTTTAGGGGCCAGGGTTTAACCCTAAGCCATATATGGGCCGATCATCCCCAAGCGTAGTCTTGAGGTCGAAAGCGCGAAGCCGTTGTCTCGGCCTTCACACTACCCATAGGTCTTGTAGTAGTTCCTTTTTGGGCTTACGTTATAGGATTCTAAATATGGACCCCCCAACAGGCTACTATGGGGCCTATGGGTAGAGACTGCTCAGTAAGTCTGTTGCTGTAAGCTCAAGCGAAGACGCGAAAGCGTGCGCCTTATGAACTGCGGCTCCGCCTGCAAACTCATGTGGTCAGGGGATTTGGGTGTTTAGGATTATTAGAGGGGCCTAAATAATTTCCAATACTGTGTTGGGTCCTGATTTTGTTTACAGTATAAACTATAAACCAACCCTATTCTGATTATTGAGGGCCCTAGATTAACGATTAGACACTTGCCGAAGACCCTGCTGCCGCAATGTCGGACGTCACGGTCTGATGCTAAGCCCCAAGCCCAAACCCCTGACCTCGAAGCCACAAGACTCGGGTTTAGGGTTTGGGACGACCCGCCAACCCAAGGTACTAAAAGGCCCAAGACCCTAAAGGCCCCTGAACCCAAAACCCTAAATGGGTGGTTGCCAAAACTCTGGTTCGTGTTTGCATACCCTAAATATTAGGTGCCGGACTATATTAGGGACGCCAAAAGGTACCATAATTTTGACAACCGCCTTAAATGGTCCAAGACCCTGAGTAAATGCCCGAACACTTTGGAAGACTCCAATGGTCCCAAGCCTCGGCGGTGTGCTCGAAGTCGTAGGGTTTAGGGGTTCAGGGTTTAGCGGTTGAGGGTTTAGGTTTCAAATTTAGGGTTTAGGATTTAGTGGGTAGGGAAAACCTTCTGCAGGACCTGGTGATGCGAGCAAAGCCGTCTCCTTGGCATGGGTTGGTCATCGAGAGGTGTTGGTTAGATTTAGGTTCGCCGTGCTGGCGTATGATAGAGGCTTTACTAATTACCTATACCACTTTGATTTTTGGTGTTCCTTCTTATTGCTATAGTATTAAATACCCCAAGACCTGTTCCATGTTGTAAGGCCCGTATAGTAGCTGATTCCGGATGCCTGGCCTACTGGAAACCATTGCCATCGAGTCTGTCATGCCACGCAACCGGCAGTGAAGTCCTGGTTGTAGACCCTGGCCTTACTAGATTGCACTGTAAGCTGGAAGCGAGTGTGCGGACCAAGCTCTACTAAAATGTACAGAGCTTTTGAATGAAAAAATACTGGGTGCGAATTGTCTCTCATTCCTCCCCGGGCGACCCCGAAACGCAAACCCCATACACCTGAAGCCCTAAAGCGCTTGAGTCCTCACTCCACTTGTCCTCCGAGGATTTGGCACTCCGTCGGTGAGTGTTCCTTCGCTTTGGGCTGCTTGCTGCAGTCGTTGTGGCAGTGGTTTGGGGCTTGCGGTTTAAGGGTTCGAAGGTTAGAGTGTAAGATAGAAGCCGGGATACTTACCAAAATGCGTCCTCAGAGTTGTTCATTACAAACCAAAGGACCCTAGGCTATTGTTTCATCATTGATTCTGTATATGCCGGGTTTGTGCGGCATTGGGGCAGTGCAGGGCTTGCGGCTGAGATAATGGGGAGCTTCGTCGCTTCAGAAACTCGGGGTATTTCAAGACCTTACCTGAATTTTGGAGTACCATACTTTGATGCTTTCTTTCTAAAGGAACCTTTATGAAATAACAGTTTATAATTTTTCTCCCTGGTTGCTTACAAGCCCAGTTGCATTTACAGAGTTGCCGGAGTGCTGGCCAGCGCCAAGCCGAAGCTTGGCTTATGATCTGAATTCGGAACGAAACGATCCTAAACCCTAAGCCCTAGACCCCTAAATCCTAAGCCCGAAACCCCGAAATCCTAGCTTTTAAATCCCTAAATCCTAAACCCCTAAGGTAGAAGCCAGTAATTTGGAATATCATTATCGTAACCCCTTTAAGGTAAATTATAGGGGATCCTACCATTAATCCATATTCCAACTTTCTGGAGTTCCCTTTAAATCTTAAACCCTAAACCCTAAACTGCGCAAACTTCAACCCGTAAGGCTGAAGGCCCAGAAGTCAGCACCTACACTTTACGCTTCGAGCAACACGAACCTCTTCCAGAATCAAAGGGGAAAAGGAGGGACCCTTAATGGGGACCCCTACCCTATAATGGGGCTATATAATGGGTATATAATGGCTATATTAAGGGTATATATACCTAGGGGTCCTTATTAAGGGTCCCTCCTTTTACCCTTTCAGAGGCCTTTCAAAACTCTGCCGGATTGAAATCTAAGGCACTTGAGCTCTACAGCCAGTATAGAATCAAGACAAAGTCGAAACTCTTTTCCTGATGGTTCCATGCTGTAAACCCCAAGACCCCATTCTACATATCAAGGCCCCTATGAATGAATGGATCAGCTAATTATTCGCTTACGTAAAAATATGCGGGTTTATGAATCGGGGGTCTACTTGAAACATAATGTCTTGAATCGGCAGTTCAGGCTTCTTGGCAGAGGGCGGCCGGTACAGCCGTGGCCTCTGAAGTGGCGTAGCGGGGTGTTGCGGTTTTGGTTTTTGAATTTTACCCATATGCTCCATAGTAGTTCCTTTAGGGATTACTTCACAGGATTCTACCATGTGAACCCCAAGAAGGAACTACTATGGTCTCGATTGTCGGTGCTTTTTTTGGAGTTACCTTATAGGACCCGAAACATGTAGCTGGTTAGACCGCTAAGCGGAACTACAACAGAGACAATGGAAAGAGGGCTTGGGGTTTTGGGATGCCGTCTTTGGAATTTCGAGCTTATCCTTGATAGGGTGTCGGGTTTAGGCCCTTCTGGGGTCTGGTTGTCCAGCGATACTTCTTCTTCTGCTTCTATACTCCGCTGCTGCTACTACTACGACTACTACGACTACTACGACTACTGCGACTACTGCGACTACTACGACTACTACGACTACGACTACGACTACGACTACGACTACGACTACTACTACTGCTACTGCTACTACTGCTACTACTGCTACTACTGCTACTACTGCTACTACTACTACTACTACTACTACTACTACTACTACTACGACTACTACTACGACTACTACTACGACTGCTACTACGACTTGAGTGGTGTGCGACGACAGCTACTCCTCCACCCCTATTCCTACTGCAGCTGAAGTGTTTTAGTAAGCGGCTGGGGTGGCAGGTCGTGTTTGCACACTGAATGTCGCAATAGAGACATAAATTCCTGTTGTAATGATACCCCCTCCTCGTCCTCATTGCCAAACAGTACAATTCACACCAAAACCCGCTGTTGGTCATCAAAGTCACTGAACTCATGAACCTCACCACTTCCTTCGCCCAGCCGATGCTTCCTGCATGCCAGCGACATCAGCAGAAGCCATCGTGCACAAAGCTCAGCCAGGTTTTCGGTGTAACCCTCGTCTGCAAAACTGGGAAAGGGCAACACCTCCCCCAAAGCCCCTAAGAATTCGGTGTTCTTGAAAATCCCTAGAATGCCCCTAAAATCCCGCAGAACGATACCATAAAGCCGTGAACCCGGAACGACGGGTTGGGACAGGTGTGGAGCTTCGGATTCAGCGTTTAGGGGTTGAGGGCGTTGTTGTCCGAAGTTGAATTCGACAGTGTAATTTCGGCCCTTGACAGCCCCCAAAACCGGAAATCGCAAACTATCAGCCCTACCTGGACCCTTCAAACCTACCTTTTTGGGGATTCCGTGATATGATTTCCTGATATGAAGCCTTAAAACGGCAGGTTACTTGGGGTTCAAGACACGACGGTCCTGGAGCCCTGAGCCCCCACCACACATCGAGATCCCCAGCTCCCCAGACCCCCGGGAGGATCTAGAAAGTAGATCCCCTAATTTGGGGCCCTATACTACTAAGGGTACTTTATAGGAACCCCCATTAAGGGATCTACTTTTTGGATCCTCCCGGGGGTCTGGGTCTAGGGTTTAAGCTTTGAGGCTTCAAGGCTTCAGGCATTAGCGTCTACTACCAAAGCCTCAATAACTACCGTAACACTATTTTTTGGGGGGTTCTTTGTTAGGGTTATAGTATAACGGGCCCCGGGGTTCAGGGTTTAGGGTCGCCGAGTAAGCTTGTACTTGCGACTCCCATTGCCACTGCTGCTGCAAGGTTGTACAAGAAGGCGCTGAAATGCTTCAAGGACAGCTTGCCGGACAATAAGAAGATCATAAGATCATTGCTATTTGGCTTTTGGATCATCAGACGGGAAGCCAATCTGGAGAGCAGAGAGAGAGAGAGAGAGAGAGAGAGACAGAGAGAGAGAGAGAGAGAGAGGAGAGAGAGAGAGAGAGAGAGAGAAACAGAGAAGAGAGAGCAGCGGGAGAAGGGGACACAAAACAGATTGAGAGAGAGGGTGAGGGTGGGGCAATCACAAACCCCAAATGTGTCTGCGGTAGGTATAGATGCATGCATGTGTGTATGTGTGTGTATGGGTTGATCAGTTGTTCTGTGACGTTTTGCGTGTTACTGCGTTGCAACGGCAGGCTTCATAAACCAACCATTGAAGATGCTCCATTCGAGAGGAGTCTGCGATGCTCTTTCGGAAGACGGAGGGGCGACTGAATCCGTTGACGGGGCAGGAGGCTGGGCCGTACCTGAAGGGTCAGGGAGACTTGCCGGAAAAGGTCTGCGCCCCAAAGCTAAGTGAGTGGACCCTAAACCCTCTACCTGAAACCCTAGCCCCTAAATTCTAAACCCTAAACCCTATATAACTATAACCCTAAATCCTAAACCCTGAACTCTAGAGCCCTGAACTCTAAACCCTGAGCCCTAAACCCCTTTAGCCCTGAACCCTAAACCCTAAATTCAAAAAAACACAAGCGGGATCTTCAGGCTCAGTATGTTGCATGGACGCTGCTGAAGTTGAAGCAGCCGGAGGACAGGAGAGTTGAGGTTCAGGGTTTTAGGTTTTAGGGTTTAGGGTTTAGGTTTTAGGGTTTAGGGTTTAGGTTTTAGGGTTAAGGGTTTAGGGTTTAGGGTTTAGGGTTTAGGTTTTAGGGTTTAGGGTTTAGGGTTTAGGGAAGGAGATGTGGTGTCACCCGAAGCCCTAGACCCTGATGTGCATCGACCAATCTGAATCATGACTTCTCCATCCTGAACCCTACATGTTTAGAGTTTATGGGGTTTACAGGTTTTAGGTGTAGGGTATTACTCCCATTATCTCCCATTGAACAATCTGAACACTGGCATCTAAACCCTAATAATTGTTCAACACCAAAAGCCCTTCTTCGGGTTTTAGTTCTGACTCGTGCAGTGCTAGAGTGTAGGGGTTATAGGCTTCAGAATTTCTGGAGATGCATGCAAGAGTCCCGTCGGTTTTCCTGATATTAGTTAGGGTTCACACTTTCACACCCCTAAACCCCTAAAAGCCCGAAACTAGAAACCCGAACGAAGAGGTGCTTCTGTGTGCCAGGAGGCAAAGAGTTACCTCCTAGATTCGCTCGAGGCCGCGTGCACTGCATGTTTGTTTTTTGGGGTTTAGGGTTTAGGGCCGTTGGGGTTGTTTCGGGTTAAGGGTTTAGGGTCATTTCGCTGTCTTTGAACTCATTGGGGGCTATATTCTATATGGGTGGTTGTCAAAATTATGGTCCCTTTTGGGGTCCCTATTATAGTACGGCACCAAATATTTAGGGTACCCAAAAAGGGGAACCTAATTTTGACAACCACCTATATCAAGTTTTAGACTTCAGGATGGGATCAGCGCTTGCTTTCGGCATTGCGAGCGCCGTGACACCGGGCTTGGAGTCTAAGGCACGGAGCTTAGGATGCATAATAATTAGGGGTACTTAAAAATAATTCTTAATTTTTAATGGTTATTATAATCCGGTTATTAAAATCCCTGAGAAACAGCTAAAATTATTTTTTTTGCTAGGGTTCTAAGTTCAGCATAGAATAGAGAGGCCTTAATGGTTACCCTTTTCAAGGGTCCTTAGGGTTTCCTTATGGCCCCTTTACAGGGATCTATAAGGGTTACCATAAGGGTACTAGAACACAGGGGCCGTAGTAATGACCTATACTGGGGGGTTCTTATTTTGAGTATAATGGGCCTCGCAACACCGAATCTGATTATTCACGCCCCCCTACAGTGTCGAACGCTACTATAGATCTCTGACAGACACCTTTGAGGAGCCCTTTATTCTAATTATTATTGGCTCTAGTAGTACATCGGGATCAAATGCATGAGTCTCCTGAGTTTGTTTGTTCTACGGCCCTTTGAAGAGGAAGGGATCAGGAGAAATTTCGATTCTATTTCTGGCTGTGGGGGAGCACAACTTCGAACGAACAGCAAGCTTGAGGACCAATGTTGAAATCGAACCGTGACATTCGGAGATCCTGGTGCCGTCGCCCACACCATCAGCACCAGCAGCGGCAGCAGCAGCAGCAGCAGCAGCTGCAGCAGCAGCAGCAGCAGCCACAACAACAACAACAAGTCAACGTCTGCTTCCAGAAGCGACCCACCGCATCCGCCTTCAGCAGCAATAGCAGCACCGCATCCATCACCGGTATTGGCACCATCGTCACCGTAATCGTCTTTATCATCGTCATCATCATGATCCTCATCATCATAATCTCGTCATCATCACCATCATAACCCTCATCCTTATCATCGTCATCATCATCACCACCAGGAGGAGCAAAGCCGCAGCAGCATTGGTACCGTAGCAGGTACCGGCACTACTTAAAGGGTCATGGGACTTAGTAACTAGAATTATAATTAAGGTAACGATACTTATAATTCCTTATAACCCCAACTAGGGTACTTAGAACCTTACTTACTAAGTCCCATGATCCTCCAAGTACTGCCCTGCATCAGAAGCCCCGAAGATCCAAAGCTTGCTTTTCCTTGCCCATGAGGCGCTCGCGGAGCAGCAGAGCGGTGCGGTCCTCGTAAGTTCCGGCCGCGGTTCAGGGTTTAGGCTTCAGGGTTTAGCGTTTAGGGTTCAGGCTTGAGGTTTAGGGTTTAGGCTTTAGGGTTTAGGGTTGATAACTTCATCTTCAAAACCTCTTCTGAATGGGTTACTTTAAGGCTCAGGGCGGAGAGGTTTGCGGGCACGCCTCCCGAATGTGACCCAAAGGACTGACGAGAGCGGCTAAGCAGACTAGTGCAACGTAGTGTTCTCGGATTTTGAACGGGATTGTTGGGGCTTCTTCGAAACGATCATATCCCGACACACACACACACACACACACGCTCTCTCTACCAGCCTCAAGGGAAGCTTCAAACTTTGCCTGCCGAGTCACAGACACACTGGTCGCCATTTTAGCCTGCACGATTGTAGGCCAATCCGAACAAAGCTAGTCGTCTTTCGCCAAAACATCCTCGACATTCGCCGAAGTCCCCTATGACAATCATTTATGCATAGCTGCGCCTCCTCTAACCATGCACCTGCTGCAACTTACTTGGAGGGTCGGGGGACTTAGTAAGTAGGTAGTAAGTAGACTTATAAGTACCCTAATAGGGACCCTAAATAGGGGTTACGATACTTATAAGTCTCTAAAATAACTACTTACCAAGTCCCCCGACCCTCCAAGTAGTAGCCTTAAACCGACCTTCCAGGCTGGGGTGATGGCGATGCACAGGCCACTGCTCAGTAGACTCGAGGTGTCGCAAGATGGTTCCAGGTTTCAGAGTTGCAGGAGGTGTAATATGGGTCACAGGTAATAGTATACTTCAGGGTTTCCGAATACAACTTTATCGGTGTAGCGACACCTGGCACGACACCGAGAATCCATGGTTTCAGATTACTTGATGACGTTTGGTGAATCTGCCTCTGTTCGGTTTGCTTGTTACACCCGGAATGAATAGTAAAGGCCCAAGGACATCCAGAGTATGAGCTCGGAGACCCGAAATCCCGAACCTTCAATTCCAAACCCTGAAACTGCCGAACCCAAGCCCTTGTCGGCCCATTTCTGCTAGAGGACCAACCGAGGGTCTGGTAAGTAGGTTTGTGGCTTCAAGTGTTGAAAGTTTAGGGCTTCTGTAGGATACAAAGAGGGTCGAGTAGATAAGTGAGTCTCTGTGTCAAAAACTGCAGGTTTTGGGTTCATGACAGGTATCGACAGACAGTGTTTTGTGAAGGTTGCTGCCGGCCTTTGCAGGGTTTAGAATGCAGCCCAGAAGTCCCAAGAAGCACGATTTATGTATTCATGACCATTCTTCAAGATAGTAACACGACGGTTGATCCGCGAAAACCTTCGCTGTCCATAATAAGGAATCTGCCTTGGCTGCTATGGTTTAGGTCATGTGCAAAGGCCCTGCAGGATCTGGTCCATGAGTCGCAGTTGTAAACAGTACGTTCGTAATCCTGAGAGCATTGAGAGTGCGACGGAGCACGGCAGTCTGAACCTACAGTTTCAGCTTGTGAACCCCCAACCCGAAACTCTGCGGCTCTGTGGAAACCCTTGGGTTTCACTGGTGTCTCCTAAGTTGTTCCCGGTTAGGTTACATCCGCTAGAAAGATAGTAAGCTGCCTGCGCTTAGATTGGAAACCTTGTACACTCGGCAGCGCAACTGTAAAGGCCAGCAATCACTTTTTGCCGTGCTAGCTTGGCGCCAGACCTCATCCGGCCTCGGTGCAGATTCACATCTAGTCGCTTTGTTTGCAGGCAGAACGTCCGCTTATAGTCTCGAATATAGTGGCATTTCCCGTCTCCCCCTTCCCCGCAAAAAAATATGATGCACTCCAATTATTCAGACCACACCTGAATACTTAGTTCGCAAACACTGTTTTCTTTTTTTAAATTCCTTACTTTAATAATCGTAAATTTTGAATTCCTTACTTTAATTATTCTATGATTTTTTTTTTATATGTCAAAGTATGGTAAACTCAAAACCGTTCTCCAGGCTCCCAAGGAACCCGCCCTGCAGCCTGTCCCGGAGCCAGGCGCCAGCCCTCACGTCCGGCGTGCATGCGGTGGATCGCATCTTAGAGGCCGACACAATCTTTAGGGGTACTTAGAAAAATTTTCTAATTTTTGCTAGGGTTCTAAGTTCAGTATAGAATCAACATGTATGTTTTCCTTATAGTCCGTAACATATATATATATATATATATATTCATATTTATTTATTTATTTACAGCCAAATGCCCCCCCCCCCCCCCCACTGTTGCATCACAGTTCCTAACATAATTCTCGCGAAATGTCCCAACTCAGGCCCTGCTCCGAGGCCCAAGTTTTTGTTCGGAGGTTGAAGGCCGAATCCCAATCTCACGTATGAGGCTCCTCTACTTGGGTGGTTGTCAAGATTAGGGTCCCTTTTGGGGTACCCTGAATCATAGGTAGGGACCCCAAAAAGGACCATAATTTTGACAACCACTCATTTGTCTCACTGTGACAGGTATGCATTAGACAGTCTATCCTCAGTTCTGTTAGGGACATCTAACACCACCGCGGACATCACCCAAAGGGTCTATATACACGACCATCATGGACTTCGACCCCAAAAGACTATCCTAATCACGGTCTTGGGGGAGCTAATTCCATGATATGGTTGATGATGTATGTCCTGCATTGCCCATAACAAGGAATATACCATAATTCCCTTAGTTTAGGGTACCTAAAGTTTTTTTTTATCATCAAGCGTAGTCGTATATCCGGACCCTCTAAGTCATCACTGCGGTCGCGAGCCGACAGGCGCATCGATGCTCTGACGATCGAGCAGGCGCTGGGATCTAGAGTTGCCCTAAGGGTCCAAGTGTCCAAATAGTAGGGTTTCAAGGCCCAGAAACCATTCAGAGTATGGATTTTGGGCCCTAAAACCCTACTATTCTGTTACCCGGTCTTTAGATGGGTGTACGTTGAGGTTTACCGGTTTAGGGTTGAGAGTATACATAGAGTTTGGAGTTTATGCTTCCCGGTCTTTAGATAGGCGTATGTTAACACAAAGGTATTTAGTGCCTAGGGTTCCGGTGTCAAGGATGTAAGATATCGTTTTAAATACACCCCGAACTTTACTTGCGCCATTGAAGAGGCACATGGAAGATTACATCTGGGCCTTTTGGGACTTGTTCCTTAAAGGAACCACTAGCAGCTCATTAGCATGCGTGGCCCAGCATACGTGGGAGTATGACCTGCTGTAGAACTTTAGCCATTGCCCACCATCCTAGTCCCCGTCGAGGTGATTTCTTCAAGGCACAACGTACTATGGATTGCAAGGGCTTTTTGGGGTTCCAGGGCTTCAGCACGAGTTAACTTTGGCCTCCGGATTTTGCTGTAGGCTCTTGTATATTCAGGTCTAAACTCTGATCCCCCTTCCGGAGTTCTTTATATCTCCAAGGCTCAAAGTGGCCCAAAAGCCTTATATAGTATGGTCTTTGGGCCCAACAGCCTTGTACAGTGTGGGCTCCAAACAGCCCAAAGTCCTTGGGCCCAACAGCATTAAAGTGCGAGTTCGTAGAGCCTTAAACTTACCTTTGGTTAGTAGGGAATGGAGGAATAGGGTACAATTATAACTCCTACTACTACTACTACTACTACTACTACCATTCTCCCATTCCCTACCAACCAAAGTTAAGTAAAGCCTTAGGAGACCCGCGAACCTTCGAGCCTCTCTGCCCTACCAGCCTGAAGCTTTAAAGTAAAAGCCAAAAAGTGTTGGAATATGATTATCCTAAACCATTTATGGTGAATTATAGGGTATCCTAATCCTACCCTGAAACCATATTCCAACTTTCTGGAGTTCCCTTTAAAGCAGCAATCCCTACGAAACACCGGCCCTGCGACCTGCTGCCTCAACTCTCTGAAGCCCTGTACCCAGAGAGCCCCATACCCCTTAATTAAGGAATATGGCTTAAATTATAAGGGGGCGCATAATATGATTTAAGCTATATTCCTTAATTAAGGGGTATTGGGCTCTCTGGGTAGGCGAAGCCCTAAAGGGAACTCCAGAAAGTTGGAATATGGAATAATGGCAGGATCCCCTATAATTTACCATTAAGGGGGTTAGGATAATCATGTTCCAACTTTCTGGCTTCTACTGTGTAGGCCCTGGAGGTTCAGGGTAATGAAGCAGGGTTATAGGGGTTTAGGATAACTAATCAGGGCTTGGGCATTCAGCATAAGCATATGGGAGTTTCCGAATATCGGGGACCCCAATCTAAAAAGTAATATCCTCATTATAAGGACCCCAAAATAAGGTACCCCCTAATTTTCGGAAGCTCCCATTTCAATGTTAAGCCCTCAGCCCTACTCCTCTGCTCTCAGCGAAAAAAACTCCGCAAAAGGCTTGGTGCGCTACTTCCCCGGTATTCAGCGGCTGTGTGCCAACGTCGCCGGCCGCTTGCAGCCGTCGAAGGCCTCGGCGTGTTCAGGCATGGGGTCGGCACTACGGTTGATGATGTAAATCCTGCATTACCCATAATAAGGAATATACCATAATTCCCATAGTTTGGGGGTCCTTAATGCAGGATTTATACCATCAACAGTAGGGGTCAGGGCATGAAGGTTCACGGTAGTCTAGGGCATAGGATGCAAGGCCAGAGGCTGCTTGAAGCTTCTTGTCTTTCGGAGCCTCGGTGCGATCTCTGGGTAGTTGGGGCTTGTTCCGTTGAAGCTTCACTGGTGGGTTTAGGCGCTGTACATCTGACCATCGTTGGACGTACAGGCTTCTACAACTAGCGCTTGCATGCTTTGCGTAACGATCAGTGTGCACGGGTGATTGGAGCAGGTTTGCCCGATTCTCTAACCGGATCAGGGCTCTAAACAATTGAGACTTTTGTTGCTTCTCTTCAGACTGAGTTTGTCAATACCCACGACTCTTCGATGAGGCATCACAGAAAGCTCTCTCTAATCCCTGCATCATGCGCCCCCCAAACACGGCGCCTCCTTGCGAGTCCCGAGCTTTGCGCTGGGAAGCATACAGTGGAAGCCAGAAAGTTGGAACATGGCTTTAGGAGGATTAGTGCTAGGATCCCTTATACTTTACCTTAAGGGCATGAGGATCATGATGTTCCAACTTTCTGGCTACTACTATAACTTGAACATTATTGCTTGACACGCAAGTCCCCCACTCCACACCGTCAGAAGCTTGGTCAGGATAACTGGCAACGACCACTGTCCTGTCTAGAATGTAACATAGGAGCCGAGTGATTAGCTGTACGGTTCGTGAAGTCCGATAAAAGGCTTCAAAACCTAAACCCCTAAAACCTTCATCCTAAAACCCTATGAGACCCTGAAGCCCTAACCGCCGTAAACCCAAAACCTTAAACCCTAAAACCCTAAACCCTAAAACCCTAAACCCTAAGAGCTATGACCCTACGCTCTCCTCGCAAGCCGCGCCCTCGGAAGGACCAGCGGCATGCAGTCTTGTACGAGAAGCTCCTGTCATCTAGCTCACTGGTGTCTTGGCCCTTTTGCCCGTCTCTGCAAACGGGTTTTGTAGGAGGATTCAGGGTCTAGGCTGGGCGACTTTGACCCACGTCGCCAAGAAAACGTGCATCTAGCTCCACAGCTCCATATTCTCGATGCCAGCTAGCCGCAACCGATGGTTTTCATCCTTGCATCGTTGATATGGGCATGTCGTAGAAAAGTGTTTGCCAAGTTTTACTTCGCGGAGGCTACTACTGGTCAGACCTGTAGGTTCATCTTGGAAACCCCTCTCGAAGTCTGAATCATGTGTGCCGTTGATGTATCACCTCGTGCCTTTGCTCAAGCTGACTCTGCATCGCCAGATAGCTGCTCCCGAGGGTGTTTCCTAAAATATTCCAGTGAATTCGGACGGTTGCTGGGGACATGTGCCCTGCGTCTCCGCCAGTTCGGAGCACGGTGGTCGACTGCAACAAGGCCATCGCCAGCTTCCGGAGGTCCAGAAACTGGACGCAACCAGGCCTCCCAGTGGGCCCTTGTTCCCTTTTTGTACTCCCAGGTTCCTTACAAAGTTACCCAATACTCAAAAGGGAGCCCTTTTTATTCCTAGGTCACTGGGCATCCTAGGCAAGGCATCTTCCTACTGGCGGAGATGGAGAGAAAGCAGCTGGAGCCTGACATCTTCACATATAACACTGAACTCAGCCTCTTCGGAGGTGCCAACTCCAACTCCGACTGGCCGCAGATGACTCTGCTGTTGTCTGAGATGCCATCGAAGCTGATTCGCGCAGATGTCATATCGCTCGGGTCGAGCCTGCTGGCTTTTGAACTTTGCTGGAGCAGGGCGGTTCAGCAGATCCGTCGAAGTCAAGTCCACGCAGTATTGCCCAATCTCATAACTTACAATGCAACTTCTACCGCTTGTGCAAAAGCATCCGATTGGCAGCGTGCCTCGCAGCTGCTAGGCAGTTTAAGATGCCTGCATGCAGTGCCAGACATTGTCACCTGGAACTCCTTGTGCGATGCATGCGACAAGGGGGCGGCTTGGCTGCAGGCTTGGGTCTTTCTCCTTGAGGCACGTCGCTCGGCCGCGAGCCCAGACGTAGTCACCTATAGCTCCGCCGTCAGCGCCACTGGGAGAGCCTCCGCATGGATGCATGCAGCTCCTAGGTTCCTCAGTGGTGCCCTGCCCGTTTCATTTTTGGGGGTCCCCTTGGTAAAACCGAAGTCGTATACTCGGAAAAGAGGCAGGCTTATTACAAAGGGGCTACTCAGAAGAAGCCTAGGCTCAGCTGTCTGCAGACATGGCGCGGGATCAGCTGGAGCCCAACCTGATCACCTACAACGCCTCCAGCAGCGCCTGCGAGAGGGCAGGCCAATGGGAGAGGACCTTGGAGGTTCCTAGGGTTTTGGGGTTTAGGGTTAGGGTAACCGTGTCCCAAATGACCAAATGCTATTAAACAGGGAAAGTTACGACCCCTTACTACCTTGGAGGTTCCTGGGGTGTAGGGTTCAGGGGTTTAGGGTAACCGTGTCCCAAAACCTATTAAAAAGGCAAGTCACGACCCCTTAGTACCAGGGTATACCGTACATACCGTACAACCCTTCAGCTTCTAACTAATAGTCAACCTCCCTTGAAAAAAGTCGGCTCTCAGATCGCCAGGTTATCTCTATGGCCGACTTCAGTCATCCGCCGGCTGACATCATCTCCTACAACTCGGCTGTCAGCGCCTGCGCTCCCGAGGGAAAGTGGCAGCTGGCTCGGCTCTTGCTTCGCAGAGGCCTTCAGCTGCTACTGGGCTTTGGAGTATCATACTTTAATACTTTTTTTCTTTATGGAACCATTATGAAATAAAAGTTTATACTTTTTTCTCCCTGGTTACTTAAAAGCCCAGGCTAGATTCTGCTTCAGCAGCTTACCTATGTGCATGATGTTGTTGTACTTAGGTTGTACTTCTAGTGAGGATTGCACATATATTGTCAGAATCAGATGTGTCAAGTCAAGTCATATTATGGACACTTCAGTAAACTTGTTCCTGAACCCCCCTCTGCAACCCTCAAACACTTTTTCTAAGACCGAAACCTAGATAGACTCTTAGCGCAGCCTAGCGAAGCCTACAAAACCGTTAGCAGACTGAAACAGCTGAACTCCGATCCTAACCCTGCACTACACCCCTTCGCCCATGATCAAACCCTACGTAGAAGCCAGAAAGTTAGAACTTCATTATCCTCATGCCCTTAAGGTAGAGTATAGGGAATCCTAGCACCAAGCCTCCTAAACCCGTGTTCCAACTCTCTGGGGTTCACTGTAATTCCCTTACACCTCAACCCGACGCAAAAGAGCCCCCTAAGACTCGTAACACAGAGGCTGCGCCTCTTCCCCACAGCAGTGACTTATGGGGCCGCCATCACGGCGTGTGAGTCGATGGCAAGGCTCGGATCAGTCTGGAAGTACCGGATCTAAATGGTCTAGGGTATGGGGTTTAGGGTTTGGAGATTATGGTTTTCATGGGTTTGGAGATTATGGTTCTCATTGGTCAGGTTTTTGTTGGGGGGTTTTGTGAGTTTAGGGTGTACGGGTTAAGATTTAGGGTGGATGAAAAGAATAGTTGGGTGCAGTGAGGTTCATGACGCTATGTCGCTATGTTGAATTGGCTGTTTACTTGATGTCCGAGGCTTCGAAGGCATACCAAGCTACGTCAGGGTATGTTAAGACTCTTCCGCTAGATCTCCATTAATACCTATACCGTGCGGCGCAGTCCCTTTTCGCCCCTTTTGGGTATCCCGTTGCTTCATGGCTCCGCTCTTGCTGTATATTTTGAGCAGTGGCTGCATGTAAAGGTCTACGTCAAGAGTATGATCACCTTTCCGTAGTGGGGGAGTGTAGTACGGATGCAAACAGTCGGGCGTTGAAGCAAATCCGATCTGTTAGCCACCGCCATGCTTCTTGTTGTGGGTTTCCGAAGTTTAGAGTTTAGGGTTTAGGGTTCTTATATTCGTGCGCTTTGGCATGCTTATGTCGTCGATACGAGGTGCGAGTATGTTTCGTGGCCTTCTGATGCACACGGAGATGTTGACATCCTCAACCTTTAGTAACCTTTAGACCCCGAAATGCTACACCCCGGAGCATGAAGACACAACCCGAAGCCCTAGCAAGTTCCATAAACCCTGAACTAAACCTTAAACCCTACACGAAACCGTGGCAGGTGGGAGGATGCCATTTTCCTGTGGAGTGAGACTCGGATCTTCAGAACCTTCCCCAACAGCCCAGCCACCCTACTTAAAGGGCCATGGGACTTAGTAGCTATAGGCTTATAATTAAGGTAACTATACTTATAAGTACTTATAGCCCTTAAGGAACCCTTTAAGAAACCTTACTTACTAAGTCCCATGATCCTCCAAGTACTGTAGACTTTCTAGGATGCCCAGTAGTACCCTTATTCCCTTTTTGTAGTCCTAGGTTCCTTATAAAGTTACCCAATACCAAAAAGAGAGGCCTTTTTATTCTTACTGGGTATCCTAGCTTTTCGAGTGTCTGGGTATGGGCCTGGGGGAACCCAGGAGATGCTCCTGGGCAATGTAGCAGCCAACGGGATCGCCCTGAACGCCACGCTGCTCGGCCTTCTTGAAGGGTTTAGGTCTAGGGTTTAGGAGTTCAGGCTTTAAGGTTTAGGGGTTTAAGAGTTTAGGCTTTAGGGGTTCAGGGTTTAGGGGTTTAGGGTTCATGTATGTATGCACGCATGTAAAGGTGTATGTACGCATGTATGAACGTATGACTGTATGTATGTAGTGTTTGTATGTATGTGTGCATGGATGTATGTATGCAGGTATGTACTTGTAAAGTACTGTAAAGTATGGAAAGCATGTAATGTATGCAGTGTATATATATATATAGTGTATGTACTGTATGTATAGGCAATTCTGTATCTATGCATGTATGTATATGTGTGTGTGTGAGAGGTTATATGCGTGTTTGCATGTCTCTGTGTGTATGCATGTCTGCATGTATGCAGTTTATGTATGTTTGTATGCAGGTAGGCATGCATTGATGTAGGTATGTATGTATGTCGTAGCCTTGCATCTATGTGGAGGAACCCCAAAATAGTGTTGGTAATTATTTAGGCCCTATAGTAACCCCGCAACCCCCTCCGCGACTCTGAGAAGAGGCTCAGTACATGCGAGAAGGCCGCAAAGTGGCAGGCTGCGTTATCTCTGAGCCTCGAAGGAGTTTATGCCCGACGCCCGAAAACGGGGTTTAGAGCAGTTCACCCTAAACCCTAAACCCTAAACCAACTGTTCAGGATTTATAGGTTCAGATTAATGGGTTCGGGTTTCGCCTTACCCTTGACAATCTGAGTCTAAAGTCCTCAACTCAAAGCAATGGAGCTTCATCCCACAACCTAAATGCACTAAGACTAGAATCCCAAAGGGTCCAAGTATCAATAATATACTTATAGGCTATTTTCGGGGTCTAAGTATATACTATATACCATAATGATACTTGGACCCTTTGAGAATCCCAACAGATTTCAGCACGGACGTTTAGGGTTGGTTTAGGGCTTAGGGGATGAGGGGTTTAGGAGTTTACGGGTTCAGGGTTTAGGGCTTAGGGGTTGCATTTGGGTTTAGGTTCCTGGGTGCATTGAGATTGAGGGAGGTCTAACCCCTCATCCCTAAATTTAGTCCCTGAACCCTCGTTCCTACACCCTGAAGCTGAAATTGTCGACGCCAGACCCCAAAACCGATTGAAACCCATGAAGCCTTGTAGAACCATGTGGGTGGTTGTCAAAATTATGGCCCCTTTTTGGATACCCTAAATATGAGGTGCCGTATTATAATAGGGACCCAACCAGGGACCCTAATTTTGACAACCACCCATGTAGAGTACGAGCCTTACATGGCCTCGCAAGTGATTGGGCCTCTGGAGTCTTACAGCTGAAGGCTTGTTTCGGCATGATGTCACCGTAGACCCCTAAACCCGTAAGCTCCTAGATCCCTAACCCCTTAAAGCCCCTAAACCCTAAACCCCTAGATCCCTAACCCCTAAACCACTTAAAGCCCCTAAACAATAAATCCTGAAGAACCTACCATTGTAAGGACTTATAAAAGGAAATCATAATAAGGAACTCTAAAAGGGTGGGTTCTTTAGTCCAAACCTTATCCCCTAAACCCTTAAAGCCCCTAAACCCTAAACCCCATATTCCTGAAGCCCGAGGATGCTGGATGCTGAGCAGCTTCTCATACAGCTGGACGTGTACCGGAGTTGCACGCAGGGGTTTCTGGTTTAAGGTGCAAGGTCTAGGTTCTATAGGGTTACCGGTTCAATTAAGGCAGGGGTTTTGGGTTTTGGAGTTTCTGAGGGTTTCATGCCATGAGAGGATGATCGCGGGGGTCGAGGATGATTGGTTTTAGGCAGCACTTGCAACTACACTCCTGGCCTAGACCGTGAACCCTCAAACTCGAAACTAAGCTCAGCACCATTCTCTTCAGGCCAATGCAACCATGCGGGTTTAGAGTTTAGGCTTGGGGTGTAGGGCGTGGGGTCAGAGCTTAGCACTGGCCGATGGTGAGGCTTTATGTTCGTGATGCTGACAGGATCTAACATGTCTGCGATAGGTTTACCCGTTACATCTCATCGGCAACCCATGAACCGTGTACTGTCTGACACCCCGAAGCCCCTCCGACAATGCCAAGAAACCTGGCCCTAAACCCAAAAGTGCTCGAAGCCCGGATACGCATTCCGAGCCCTTGTCAAAGCAACTCCAACACTCCAACTGGAGCCGTAGCCTGAACCCTAAACCCTAAACCCTAAACCCTAAACCCTAAACCCTAAACCCTAAACCCCTAAACCCCTAAACCCTAAACCCCTAAACCCTAAACCCTAAACCCTAAACCCCTAAACCCTAAACCCTAAACCCCTAAACCCTAAACCCTAAACCCTAAACCCCTAAACCCTAAACCCTAAACCCTAAACCCTAAACCCTGAACCCCAAGCCGATGTTGTTGAGGATTTCCTACAATGCCGCCATTAGCGCCTGTGGTGCAGCGGCCGAGTGGAAGTTGGCTTTGTCTTTGCTTCGCAGCCTGGATCATTTAGAGCCCTAAACCCCAAACCCCAAGGCCCTAAACCCTAAACCCTAAATCCTAAACCCGAAACCCTAAACGGGGCTTAGGGACCGGGCTTGTGTGTAATGCGACGGCCTCAGTCGGCTTAGAGTAGGTTTGGAGGTAGACGACAGTATAGCAGAATAAGGGCTGGAAGGGGACACATGATGCAAGCAGGTAGTCTAGGGTAGAAGTATCCGTAAACATACGTGCCCTCGTCGCGAAACCTTCACGTAGTTTTTTGACTCCAGGACTCGTCGTTACATAAATGCTTGCAGAATCGCTGCTGCTCATGAGTGCAAAGAGGCGTGAGAAGAGGATGTCCTATATCATATCTAAACACAAACCGTTGTGAACATTGCAGTTTAGCAACATCCCCGCAGCTCTAAACCGTATAAAATTTCGAATATGATAATTCCTGAAAGTCTCTGCAGTCATCTCTTTATCAGCTCTATGGACACAAAGCATGGTCGGCAAGATCCCGATATTCATGTGTTACTGTTAGTTTAACCGGAGCCTATACTCTCCCTGTGAGCTTGCCTAGGCAAGGCAATTGATGTGGGTCTCTCTGTGGACTGCATCACCTACACCGCAGCAGTTGGAGCCTGTGAACGGGCCACGAAGCTCCAGCATGAGCGAAAAGCGGGCCCTCGCTTGGGGTGAGGGTGTCGCCTGCATTCATGTCGATTGAAATGCTGGGCCCTGGAATATATAGATGCCCCAAACGGTCAGCTCCCTTAAATTCCTAGA